AACCGCGTCTAGTCTTTGAATAAAATGGGAATAAAAATTCGGTTGAACATTATCAAAAAGGCAGTTAAATGATCAACATACCGTTGGAAACTGCAACATTCCCTCGGTGACAGCTATTATCCCTCTTCAGTGTATTCCTCGTGACTGTCACGTAGGTTGAGGTGGAGTCGATAAACGTTGGTGGCTGCGACGAGACGCCATAGATCTTTTTCGCTACGGCCGAGTTATCACCTTCACCTCCAGCACCTCTTTCTCCTTCCTCTCCAGTGAATTGGAGTTCGAAATCAGTACCCTTCAATTTGGACTTCATCGTAGTAGGGCAATGTCTCCTCGATTGTTCTGTCAGCATCCGTTTTCGCAGACAAGCGGTGGCTAGAAGCACCACAATGAAAAGGAGCACTGCCACTGCCGCTACCATAACCGTAATGATGATTAAAGACTCCGTGGATATGAGGCTTTCATGATCCTGTTGTTGATACTGATGTAGCTTACTACCTTGGAGATGATTCTGTTGATTGGACTTACTCTGCACCACTTTTTGCTCTCTATAGGTAGCGGAAGTGTGAAGGGAGGGTATGATAGGTCTGGAGAGAGATGTAGGAAGTTTTGGGTTGTGGGTAGGAACAATTAATCCAGATAAGCGCACATCAAGAACTGCTGTCGTAGTGCGGGCCGGTTTGCCCTGATCCGAGGCCCGAATATACAAACGAAAGGTCTTGAAAGAGAGCATTCGAAGGCGATTTTCGAAAAGAAGATTGGTTGTGGAGGCACCAAGAGCGGTAGTTGAATTTGTATCTTGTCCAACCGATGAAGCCGATATTGGAGTGGTTGTGAAGGGCCTGCTTATGTACAGGTAACCCGTTTGCTCATCTAATTCAAAATGTCCCTCCTCATTACCGCTGATTATGGAGTAGGTAACCTTCCCAAAGTCTCCTTCATCGTCGTCTGTTGCATTCAGCTGAATCAAGAGTCAAGGAAATTCTTTTTAGACTTTTTTGCTCTTGATGGCAATTTGCACAGATTAGGTACGATTTCTGCGTCCAAAAATGTGGGACAATCAGTGGGACCCCTATTATTCTTTGCTTCTTCTGCTACCTGACTATGTATCAAGCAAATCTCCTTACTTCGAGAAGGTTGAAGGCACGTTAAATGTCCTTGTCGGTAGTCATGGCATGACTTGTAAACACATCTTTGGAGTCTTTCTGTCAATATCCGTGTTGAAAATGTTTGGCTTTCTTACAAATGCCTGGTGGCAGTATATTTAACTCCAAAATTTGGTCTCAAAGTTCATTGTGGTTTCTCGTCCACGATTTTGTAATCTG